GTTTCTTTCTCTCTTTCTTTTTTAATCCTCTTTGGCCTATGGAAGCAACAACCAGGATTGTGAGCCAGGACAGAGTTAGCCTGAGCTGCAGCAGATCAATGGAACCAGGCAGGTGGTGACAGGAATTCTATTCTTACCAGGCAACAGCTCTTGACCTCTGGGCCTGTATGTAACTCACACCAGGGCGTGGGGACAAAGGGATTTCTGAACTGCTTTTACTCCCCCAGGTATTCATCATCCGTGTTAATGATTGCATTTGTGTTTAGTTGAATCAGAGACCAAAAAGAGGTGCAAGGGATACACAAAGGGCTTGGCCACTTGGCTTTAGAACTGAGGTTAAACCTATCTCAAGAACCTTAGGTTTCCTACCACACAGGTCAGGGCAGATCTACCTGAGAGGAGCCAAAAGCCTCAAGTAAAACTTCACAGATGCTGAGGCTATAAGTCAGTTTTCAGGAAATTAGACTTCAGAAAATCCGAAAGGGTTATGTGCACAGGGTTAAATACAGAGAGTCCCCTGTGCCATCTCTGCCAAGGTGGGGTTTGGTAAGTCCTCCCTACCCTAGACGTGAGTCACAACAGACTCAATCCATCCTGCAGTACTTCCTGATGTAGGATTCCCCCCAAAATGCTTCCTCCAGTTGCTTCACATCTGAGCTTGGAGGCATGGCTTAGCGTCTGGCAAGAAGGCAATGATGCTGGCTCTTAAATGGTAGCAGAGGCGGTAAGTGGAGTTGTAGGTGAGAGGTTATCTTCTGCTTCCTTTCAGAACTTCACAAACACATCTCTGCTTTGCAGAAGTCATTCCCTCGATACGAAAGGCTTCCTGTAGGTGGATGGAGCTAATTCGCTGGAGCAATTTGTTTTGTGGCTGATGTTCTATTAACCGGGGCATGGCCCAATGCTTCCTGGAGTCCTTTCAAGTCAATCCCCATAGCTGCCACCTGTTTTACCCCGGGCACTGGGCTTAAAATTCTAATGGAGACCAGTAGGTCAGTGATCTGCAGTGAGGTCCTGCATTCTCAGGACCTGGGATTGTGGGTGACCTGGGATGGGGTCAAACAAAGTCTTTTGCTTTCTCTACAAATACTTGCTACGACACTAGCAGTGCAATGAGACTTCCCTGTCTGCAGCCTCAGTACTTGGTGACTTGTCTTCCTTTACAGCCCCTGAGTTCTGCCTGCACCTTACCCTCAGCTGTTATCTCGACACCTCCTCCTTCCTTTCCTTCTCTAGCCTGACTTGAGCATCAGGGAATCAGTTCTAGCTTTCCGCGGATCTTACCCTAGCTTCCAGACTGCTCAGGTGCCCTCTTCATGTCCCCATGACACCCTCCAACCCCTCCACTGCACTAACCACGCTAGGTGGTGTGCAATGTCTGCCCATCAGTGAGCAGTGTAGGGTCTCATCTGTTTCAGGATACTTGGACCCTGCCCAGGGCCTGGTGTACTGTGTGTGCCCAGCAAGTTTGTCCTTGCCAAGATTCTTAGAGAGCACCAAAGGTCTCTGAAGGCTGCAGTCGGTGCGGTAGAATCTGTGCATTAGAACACAGGCCCTCAGGGCTCCTCACACCCAAACAAGAGCCAGTTGCTGGTCATTTTGGGGATCATTCCAACAAGTCTCATGGCCTGGTTACTGCAGACAGCAGAAAAGCCCTAGGGAGAAAGATGGCCACTGATGATCCTTAGTAATGGAGATCAGGATGCAAAGGCCTCTCCATAACCATTTTCTGATTCCCATTGCATAAACAACTGCTCTGTAAGATAACTTGAAAACTATCTTTGCTCAACATCTTATCTTCCTTCTTAAAGACCAGAGTAGGAGAAGCATGAAGGAAGCACATGACTTTAGTTTGCTTCTGGTGATAAGAGGAATACACACTCATCACAGAAACCTTGAGACATACGGAGAAGTATAAAGAAATAAGAATAAAGGTCCCACAAGTGAAAGCTGACTTCTATTACTATAGAGGATTGGGGTTGCATATTTGCAACTTGGCTATAATTGAAATAACTCTTTATAATTCACGTTTATGACTTTTTTTAACTGAAAATATCTTCATCAGAGCCACCAGCAGTAACCTTATCAGCTTGAATCTACTGCATACTGGGCAGAAGGGACCCAATGACATGCCTAATAAAATTTAATTTCTGATTCCTTCTCAGCTCTCATCCCCACCCCTCCCCACACCACCTCATGGAAAATGGGTCTTCTTGCAGTGATCTTGGAGGCTCTGCTGAATCTTCCCCGCTTCTGCAGCAGACATTTTAAAATAGGGCGAACAGAAATACAGGTCAATAGAGGGTTTCATTGCAGCCAAGAGCATTTTGCTAGTTGATGAACATAGTATTTTATTTTTGTACCTTGTAACATTGTTGAGGTCTTTGATAGGCTGGACTGTTTCTTTTCTTTAAATTCTCATTGCTTTATCAGCTTGTTTCCTCTTCATGCCTGCTTCAAAAGTTGACTGTAGCTCCAGGCCTGTGAATTATACCCCCGGTTCATTCTGGGTGGTACCAGACATGAGGTTAGAAATGAGAGTCTTTATGAAAAGAAACAAGAACATGAGTCCATACTTTCATATTTTTGAAGTTCTAAAGCTTATGATCTCTTCTCTTCTTCTTGGGCCTCAGAGGAGAAAGTGCCAGATTCCATGTGTTGTCTGAGAAGCTGCCTCCAGGGCTATGTGTGGGACCCAGATGGAGGAGAATGAACAAGACCAGAGGACAGCATTCCTCCACCAGATCTGGAGTTTAGCCCAGGGTCTGGCTTTTTAAACTTCAGATATGAAAACGATTTTGTGTGTGTGAACTAGAAGTGGATAAAATTTCCTTTGGACTGTCCTTATTTCTTGATGCCTACTGCCTTTGCAACTCTTCCTATGGACACTACCGTATGGCAGCCTAAGAATGGCTGCTGTCCTACTGACCCAGTTCCAGTAAACAGATATTCAGAGCAATTGGAATTCATGTGGCTTCCAGTTACATCCATGAAGAACAGGCTGGTTAACAAAAATGTGTAAAGTTGACCTACTTGCTGAGAGACGCTGCAGTCTGGCTTTTCCACTGTGGTCTTCCTCAGGCCTCCTGCAGCTTCCCCTCCATATGAGCAATATGTTAGCATGAAAGCTTCCCATGCAGACAGAGTCTACCCTCCACCCGACCTATTTGGGAACTTGTTCCTTCCTGTGGAGAAAATACAGGACAGCCATTGCTCATCAGAACCAGTTCTGCCCAATTCTGCCTCTCCCCTTGTCAGTCACACAAATGAGGGCCACTAGCTTAGTCAGATGGCATGCTATATTTGTATAGTCTTCCCTCTGGCTTATGTTGGTCAGCCTGAAGTTGTGTTGTTGATGGTGCTGGTTTTTATTTTTGCAAGTCTTGGCATTCCTTCTTTACTCTTAAACTCATACTTGTTGGTAGAGAGACCTGCATATAATAAATGCTGGGAATTTTCTCCCTTCGAATTAAGGTATTACTTAAAATAGGGACTAGGAGGTCACAGGTCAGACTGCCTGCTGATAGGGATCTGCTTGATTGTACCAGTGAGGCAATGGGAGATGAGCCACAGCACGCACAGCTCCCTGCCTTGTTTACAGTGACTGTGGAAACACACCTAGCAAAGTCAGTAGCACTTAAAGCTCCAAATAAAGATGGGCTCTGCATATACACCCATTTTCCTCCACGGTAACTTTCTCCCACTTTGTTTCCAAAGAGGCTACCATTCATCCTGCAGGCCTCGGCTCACACCCCACTTAGGTGAGCAGAGGTTCCTGCTTCCTCCCTTTCTGCTTCACAGGATTTACCAGAATGTGTGGGTTTGCTTGTTTATGTGGCTTTTTTTTTTTTTTTTAAAGCACTGTGTGTTTTTACGGGTACTTCTGTGTTATGTCTGTGGTTTTCTCTGCTGGGTCCCCTAAACCTCATTTAGTACCTGCTAACCAGAGACCTCACAAACACTGGTGGAGGGAGGAAATTGGCTGATGTTAGAAGTCCTTGAATCAAAACTTTTTACTATTTCATCTTAGAGCTATCCCTTTTTGAGGATATCAATTGAGATTCACACATTTCTGTCATTGAACGGTCTTACTGTCCACACACCATTTGCATAGTTCTCAGAATACTGCACAGGTCACATTTGTTTGGTTTGGAACTTAGAACCTTGCTTTTACTGGGCCATGCCCCCAACCCTTTCTGCTTTAGTTATTTTTCAGATAGTGTCTTGCATTTTTGCCTGGGGCTGGCCTCAGTTCTTAATCCTCCTGCCTATTCCTCCAACATAGCTGGAATGACAGGTGTATTCCACTATGCTCAGCTTGTTGGTTGAAATGGGGTCCTGATAACTTTTTGCCTAGGCAGGCCTCAAATTGCTAATCCTCCTAATCTCCAGTGCCTGAGTAACTGCACAGGTCATGTTTTTAGGGGTTCATTTCTCCTGCTAGGGCAGAGTTCCTGCAGGTGGAGATGTCCTCTTGCTCATTGGACAGTCACACTTCTGAGTCATGGTCTTCTGCTGGCCTGTAGGGACTTTCTAACATGGAGGCTACACAGAGGCTGCCATTTGACTCCTATTTGGCAGAATTATCAAAAAGATTTTACCTTTTCTTTGTTTTCTGCCCACTGGTGATGTCTAAAGCACCTGTCCAGTGTCCTTTACTTTGTGTGATTAACCCCCAGGCTCAGATGAAGCCATTTGCCTTTTTTGACTTGTGCTGTTCTCTTCCCTTACATACATAGCCCATAAGCTGCAGAGCCAGGACTAGAACAGGTGGCTTTTGATGCCTTTTCTACTTGTTACAGATGTAGAAATTCAAGGCTGTTTAGGTCTGAATGTAACTCTTTCCCTAAAGAATCCTGTCCCCCCAGACCTGCCTTTGCTCCCTGGCCCACTGTCAGCTGTCAGGACATTTGACAGTTTCTCCTCCCTTGCCACACCCCAGGGCAGCACAATGCTGACAGAACTCTAGGCTAATTACTGTGCCATGTGTTTACATCCAGGACCGCCTGTTTTTTGTAATGGAGTTTGTGAACGGAGGTGACTTGATGTTCCACATTCAGAAGTCCCGTCGTTTTGATGAAGCCCGAGCTCGTTTCTATGCTGCAGAGATCATCTCAGCTCTCATGTTCCTGCATGAGAAGGGAATCATCTACCGGTAAGTTTGGGTGGCCTGGTCTCTCCTGATTCACTCCCAGCCCCCTCTCCTGCCTGGGACCCATCCTTCTGTTACTCATGATGATCAATTAAGTCTTTTGGAGTTAAGTTCACAGAAGGTTTAAGTGTTTGTTAGAATAAATGAATAACATAGTTGATGAATTCTGCCTCCAAACTAGAACTCACCTTACTTGGTATTCACAAAATAGGCCTGAGAGGCTCAGAAGAGACAAGGCATGAGTTGGTTCAGCTGGGGCTTACTCAGGGCCTGCAGCAGCCACACCCTGGGAAGTGTCATTCTTCTCATTTTTCCATTTTAATACCTGAGGGAAATTGGCTAACATGGAGCTGTTCTGTTTGAAAAATCCACATGTAAACCGAGCGACATGGCTGAGCATTGCTCTAAGTTGCTGTGATAACCTTTGGGTCAGATGAGGTGGGTTTCCCAGTCAGGAGCTAACACCTGCTGATGAGCAGTGTCCTCCTTGATGGTCTTTGTCACTTGTAGCCCCCTCCCAAATGATATTTGATTCCATTTCATGACACAATCTTTTGATCACTATATACCACATTGAATGGGCTCCAAGTCTGATTGGTGTTATTAGAACTCAATGGACAGCAAAAGAAACTAGTCAGCGAGAGTAGGGGGAGAGGGGAAATGCAATAGTGAGTGTTAGACAGTTTTTATTTCCTTTTTTTTCTGTTGTCAGAATCCTCTTACTCTTTAACTCACATAATGACACATACATACCTCTTTTTCTCTGGAGATGTAACTGTTGTTTTCCCCTTGAGAAGAAGTCTCTTAGAGTAAGAGCACAAATGCTGAAGTAAAGAATTTCCTGATTAAGGCTGGCGCCAGTGACTCACACCTGTAATCCTAGCTACTCAGGAAGCAGAGATCAGGAGGATCTCTCTTGGAAGCCAGCTCCAGGCAAATAGTTCACAAGACTCTAATACAACCCAACACACAAAAGAGCTGGTGGAGTGGTTCAAGTGATAGAGCACCTTCCCGGCAAGTGTGAGGCCCTGAGTTCAAACTCCAGTAACAGCAAAACAAAACAAAACAAAACAATTTCCTGATTAAATTTTGCTATTTGTAGACCATCCATCCTGCTCTGCTTACCCCAAAGAGAAATGTCAACATTTAATTTTTAATAGTAATGACTTCCCTACTTAACAGAGGTTTATGTTGCAAATCAAAATAATATTATCAACAATAAGAGCTAAATTTGCTCCAGGACCAGCTCTTCACCTGTTTGTCCCCTAGTCCTCCATCATATTATATCACAGTAATATAGTTCACTTTGTTTAGATGAATCATCAAGTCCTACAGAGCCGTAACAACCAGGCTACTAGCTGGTAGTGAAGCCAGGATTCAAACCATGTTTTTAATCACTGAACTTCCCTGCCTTCTCAGGAGAGATTTAAAGATTGAGAGCACCACTGGAGGGCTGGCTTCTTATTCTCTTTTCAGTCATAGTACAACTTTCGATCATGAAAATAAGGCAGAATGGGGAAATAAATAAGGCCTATACTCAAGTTGTCTTGAATACTCAGGGGTTTGACATAAGCAGTACACCACATCAATGTGAGACTACATGCTTGCTTTCCCAGGTTGCATGTCACCACTTCTGTGCCCGCTTGTTTCATTTGTCTCGAGATACACAGCACGGATACTGTAACTTGCGAAGTTTCCAGTGAAGTCATATTGGTCTATAGCTTGAAGTTTAATTTCAATTCATGCTATCTGTGGCTCAATTCTGAGAACTGATTTTAGTTTACCCTTGTTCAGGTTCTAAGTGATATGGTTGACTTCAAAGGGAACACGTTTAATTATGGTAGATTCAACTGCTATTTGTGTTCTGTGGATTTATTTCACAGGTAATTCAATTCCATCCAGGTTATTGGTTGGGAGCAGAATCTTAAAAGTAAGGCTCTGAAAGCCAAGTCCTTGGAATTCACACACAGTCAAGGGCACATTTGGGTCACAGAGAGTGTGAATTTGATACAGGAATCCAATGAGAAACTTGGGAGCATCAGACAGCCTCATTTATCTTGCATATCCCAAGATGGCATATCAGAGCTACAATGATCTCTACAGAAGATGGCTCTGATCTATCCAAACAGTTTTGTTGTCTGTTTGTTAAGAAGTTTTTTCTTGGGGTAGGAGGTTCTTTATTTTCCAGCAAGTCACATGTGTAAATCATTGTCAAATAGGACCTTAGAAGGTGCCTTTGGCTCCCTCCAACATGCATTTTTCTCTTCCTTGACTGCCTGTGTGGGAGAAGACAGGCCAGTCACATTTACAAGCTTTCCAGCTTGTTCTGACCCTGACTCTCAGATGCACTCACCTGCATTTTGTAGAGAATCAAAAGCCTCTGCCTCTTTGTCTGCCAAGTCTGGATGCTGCCACAGCCCAGAAACCAAGGTGAGTGGGCTGGAAAGTGGTAGAGTTGGCTTTGCCAAGGGAAAAAAGACTGTTCATTCCTGTCCTGGGCTTGTTAGCCATCCAGAAGCCCAGACAGTGCTCATGAATAGTTTACATGTGGCTTGGATGCTTTTCCAAAGTTAAGCCCTACAAAAAAGATAGGGAAACGAAGGGCCATGCAGCCCATTTTGTCACATATTCCAGTGCCTAAGCCAGCCAGCACATGTCTGATTTGCTGTTTCTGGCAAAGTGGGAGTGAATCTGAAATGTTGGGTGAAGACTACAGAAAGATGCCATTTAAATTTTGGTTCCTACTTGCCATGTTACACTTGAACACATGGCACATGTCAACATATATTTCCAGTGTGTGTCTGACCACTTGTGCTTGTGTGGTCCTTTGCAAGCTACACATGAGGTAATCAAGCCCCAAGTGCCTACTGTGGTATTTCACTGTCCCACTTTCCAGATGTGGAACTGGCCCATGGAGAGGAAGATGCTTCACAGAGGCTGACCTGACACATTGTCGTCTGCCCTTATGCTTATAAAGCATGTCAACTGTTGCTGAAAACCATCTTTGATTTATCTTCAAATTGAGAGAAAAATCTCTACCTCATTTGACTTTTGCTCATAGACTTAGGATTTGGGATCAGCAATGTCCCTCTAATATAAGTTCTCTTGAGCTAAGCTCTGAACACAGAGGTTGGACCTGGAGGGAGCTGGGTGACATGTCAATCTCCATCATCACCTCTCTTTGTCTCAGGGTAATATGTGAGGCCATGGTGCCTGGTTGGCTCCAGATACCTGTGTGATCTGAGCTTAGCTGGTTGTAGCTCTGCTAAGTGAGCCCATTGAGAGGGCCCTCTGTGAGTGTTGCTTCTGTGGCTAAGGATTCACAAGGAATCTGTTTCCAAATCGATTTGTATGTTGAGTCTGTCATAGATGTTCCATGCCTGCACCATTTCTCTTTGCAGCTGTCCCCCTCTGGAAAATTGGAGCAATGTGATTCCCATCTCCTGGGACCTCCCTCACTCCTCAGCATTTCTTATCAGCAAACTTGGAGACTCCTCAAACATCTTTCATTTGTGCCTGGAATTTTGGAATCTTACTGTTACCTCACCTATATTAGGATTCTATTCCATATCTATGGTTCTTTGTATTCATGCTAGTGAGAAAAGCCTTCTTTTAAGATAAAAAAAAATGGTAGTCAAGTTGAGTCTTTCTCTTTTCCCTTTGTCATCTAATGGCATCATTCTTTCTACTCCATGAAAAAATAGGTTCATTATTTTTTGATCTGTTTACTGCAGAGACAGCTACAAACTGTCAGTTGTTACATTTATAGTCCTTGTTTTTCCAGGAAGTACCAACGATGGGAATGCTCAGTTCATGAATAACTTTCACCTCAGCTTCTGACTGTGAGCCCTCCACAAGATTGATACCAGTCACATTCCTGTCTCCTTTCTCCATGCCATGCTTTGCTCTGCCAGTGGTGGCCTCATTCAGTGACTGCTCTTCCACTGTCACCAGAAAGTGACCACCATCCCCTACTCCTTTTTCAGGAATGTGCTGGAGAGCTCAGGCTTTCCAGCTCAGTAGATTCACTTCACATTTCCCCCAAATGTAGTCTCTCCTTTCCCACAGGGAAATGCTCAGCCCTCTCTGTTCCCACAGACAGCCCTTGGAGACCATTTAACAAGAGTTCATTGACCATCAACTCTCTGCCAAGGATATAGATATGATAATGAGCAAAACCAAAAATACCCTCTGGTGATGAGGATGGCCCAGTGAGGAGAAGGCTATTAACCAAGTGATCTTACAAGAGAAAGTAGAACTGTGGCCAGTGCAGTGAAGAAGAGAAATGCAATGCTATGACTGAGAATCTCCCATAGGGTGATCTGATCTGGTCAGGAAAAGATGGAAGATTGTCCGAAGGAAGCGACTCTTGAGTTGAGGTTCCCTGGTGAGGAAGAAGAAAAACTGAAAGAACAGCAATTGCAATGCCCAGTAGGAGGAAGGAAAATGGCAAGTTCAAGAACTTTTAAGGGAGTCCATTGTGGCTGGAGTCTAGGAGGCATAGCTTTCCATAGTTGGTATTTCATTATACCAGAGTGTTCCCAGTCATCTGATGACCTCAAGATTTTTTTACACATACCTCGTAAATAATTTATTTAAAGGTTTTACGTGTAAGTCTGGTCATGTTGACAATCCCTGGAGGTACCATCAACTCACCTTTGTGTTTATACTCAACAGTAGGATTATAAAATAGTAGAGCCAGATGAGACCTCAGAAATTACCTAGAGCCAAGTTCTCTTTTCCAGATGAAGAAATTCGGGTCTGAACCATCCAACCAGTGAATTGTGTCTTTTCATAAGTGTTCTCTTAGGATGGTTCATCTACAATTTAATGTCCATTTCCAGAAAACTAAAACTAGAATTAGAAAACTTTTGACTTTTTAAATCTTCAAATTACTGCTGACATGAAGAATTAGACATCTTGAGGCATTCAATGCTGTTTACTTCATTTTCAAGAGAAAAATCCAGTTGAGACCAGAACATGTTGACTGAGTCAGGCATTGAGTTAGGAGGTATAGAAATGAGATAAGTGGATGTGGCTCTCTCCATGGGGTGAAAGAGACGGCTCATATAAAATAATGGCAGATGGACTCTAAAACTGGGGTATGCCCAGGGTATTTTGGGAGCACAGAGAATGGCTACTGATCCTGAGATGTTCAGGCAAACTTCCTGAAGGAAATAACACCTAAGCTGAGTATGGAAAGTTAAAAGCTGAGAGTGTTTGAGATTATAGGCATATGCCACCAGGCTTGATAAATGTCCCCAAAGTGAAATTCCATGGAAAACATAATCCATTAAAAGAGTAAAAAAAGACCTCTTATTTTAAAATGATTTGAGGGGAAGAATGTATTTCTACTAAGAGAATGCTACAGATGGTTTTCTGAAAATCTGGGCACTGGACAGAGTGATGGTTCTGGGATGTGGGCAGGTTGCTCAGTGCTCTGAGCTTGTCTGTCTGTCTGTACCATGAGGCATCCCTGTAGGGTATTGTGAAGATGTGCAAGCTCTTTGAAACATGCCAGGTCAAGATGAGAGGTTATTCTTGGCATATACACTATCAGCTGGTTCAGATTTTCTTTGTAGCCTGTTCTAGAGTCATCCTGAAGATCCTGCCTCTGAAGTGAGGAATTCTTCAGAGAAATTGAAGTTTTACCTTGTAAAATTCAACCCTTTGAAGACCAATCTCTGCAGTAAACTAAATCTGTGCCTTTTTTTTCCAAATAAAAATTGTTTTATTTATATTTCAGCAGTAATTTGAAATTATATGTGATTGATATACTTACATATTTATCATAAGGCTTTGAGATAATTTTCTTACGAAGCCCTGAAATTTTCTTAGGAAGCCCTTCAGCTGTATGACCATTTTACTTTTATATTTTGTATAATTTTCAACTCTCTCTAATTTTGGAGGGAAGCAGCTGAACTCACTTTGAGTTTTCCTCTTGTAGTATTGAAACAGAACTTTTGGTGGTTAATTTGAGGGAAAATTCAAGGACCTTTTCAGACCACCAGTGGAGTGAGTATCCTAGGGGCTTATTCCCAGTAATACAGTTTCTCAAAGGACACAGCTTAATAGCAGAAATAAATGTAAGCCTGGAACACTTTGGTTGTTTTTCTGTACTTCATACATTAAATCAGAATAGTGATCCTAGCACACTTTTTCACTGTTTGCCCTTTGGCTTCAATGAAGGCCATGGTTATTTGGAACTAATTGGTTAATTGATAAATGTGTTCATGGAGTTCACTGGCTAATGAAATCAGACCACCAGTTTTGATCCCACCAAATTAACCAAGCAAACCATTTCCTCATTATAGTTACAGACAATATTGGATTTATTTGCAAAGCAATAAAAATGCAGCCAATTGATCTTTAAATATTAGATGAACACCATCATTTGTCAAAAGTGATTGAATTGTGCAGTGGTTCCTGAAAGTTACTCTTCAGTAATGTCTTATGAATGAAAAAGGATGGGGTTCTTTAAATGGACTTTGTGAATAGTGGTGGTTGTGATCAGAAGAAACAATCCAAAAGCAAACCCCTCCTCTCAATCAGTAGAACTGAGACAGACAGAAATATGCCTGTAGGGGGACATATTTCCAGGAGATGAACCCCCCCGCACATAACTGGCAGGAGTCTGAGTGTATGGGGCAATGTAGGTGGTTTTTACTTTCCTTTTAATGCTTTCAAATTTTCTACTTTGGGGCAGAACTCAAGTGGAAGAGTGCATACATAACAAACACGAGGTCCTAAATTCGAAACCCAGCATTGCTCCCCAAAATAAAATAAATTACCATCAACTGCTCTACATTGAACAAATGTTGTCTTTTCCATAATTAAAAATGCTGTTTCAGAAAGGAATCTCATACATGATATTGTGGTTTTCAACATGATAATGTCAAAAATAGGTACTAGTGAATTTCTGTCAAGCCTTGACCTTCAGGTTGGAATCACTCCTTGTCTGTGAATCCCAGTTCTATAGAAGTCCCAAACTCATTGTCTTAGTCAACTCAGACAATAACAAATGTCATAGGCTGGGTACCTTGAACAACAGAAATTTATTTCCCACCATTCTGGAGTTTGGAAGTTCAAGATGTTGGTGCTGGCTGATTCAGTTCCTGGTGAGGGCTGTCTTCTTGGTTTATAGGTGGCCACTTTTTCTCTGTGACCCTACAGAATAAGAAAAAGAGAGAGAAAGCACAAGCTCTCTGGTACATCTCTTTATGAGGATACAAATTCCACCACAGAGCCCTGCCCTCGCTTCCTCAGCTAATACTAACTATCTCCCAAAGCCATCACAATAGGGATTGGGACATAAATTTACAAATTTTGGAAAGACACAAATATTCAGTCTATAGCAGATATTCATTCATACACATATTTAGTTAATTAATGTTTTCTGTTACATTAAGGAAGGTACTTTGAAGCTACTTGGTTTGATAGTACGAATCTACCCGGAAATAATTTTAGCCCTGAGGACAGCACCTGCTAGAGCTGACCATAGAGTGGCCTGATATGAGACAACAGATGAGGGTTAGACCAAGGTCTTGCCATTCTTTTGGCAAGTCTTAGAAGTCTTAGAGCTGTGTCTTTCAGGTGTGCTGAAACCAAATCTTTCTCCTGGATTCCAGTGTCAGTCTAGCTGGAGAAATAGCTGAGTAGAACACAGTATTATAGTTTACCTTTTGATAAATAATACACGTAGCATGTGCCTGAAAGTGGAGTTTTTTCCCCTTTGTCTGCAAGTGTCAATTTTTAATGTTTGGTTAGCTTCCTAAACAGAAATACAAATTGGTGCAAGTGCCTTGTTACTGTTTAACAAAAATGCTCACACATGATGGTTTTCAGATTCGATTGCAAGTAGTAAAACCTGACAAGTAAATGGCCCCACTCCCTGGAGGACAGTGTCCCTGGGGGTCTGGTTCCAGAGGCATGTGAGTGGTACAGACAGATGCTGGCAAGTTTCATTCTCTGGCCTTTCATCTCCCTTTCCTGCCTCAGTACTGCCCCTCCAGCCTTCAGAGAGCTCAGGCAAACCTGCTCTTTCACTGCAGAGTTCTATATCATTCTTGGCACCTGCATCAAAATTTACTTTGTCCCACTGATAAAAATTCTAGAATCTCAAGTTGGAAAGCAGTTCAAAGTTATATACTCCTCTTTCAGAGCAGGACTATCTGACATCCTGCTGAGCAGTCAATTTTTCCATCCTCACTTCCAAGCAGAAAAGAACTTATTTCTTTTAGGCATCTGTGACTATTGGAAATGTCTCCTTTGTTTATTCGAAACAAAGTTTCTACCAGTTTCTATTAACTGGTGGTGGGCCACCTTTAAAGGGTAAACTCAAAAATATGCAAATCTTCTACAAGAAAACCTTTCAGATATTTAAAGGCATTCTGGGTCTCTCAAACTTCTTTTCCTGTTAAAGAATGACATGGTATCAACCTGATATTGCTCAATCTGGCTGTGTTTTCACAATCACTGGTTTCTGAGCAATCATTAGCCATCCATGGGATTCTAGATACTTGGATTGATATCCAGTTGCCTTGTTATAGTCTTCTTCTCTTATAAAATCAGATCTGTCTTAAGGAACTGTTGGTTATACTAACAGCTTGCTCATGTTACCTCTCCTAGGTAACACTTGGACTTTAACTGTGGATTGTTAATGTTGAATCCAGGGTAGACATCGTGGTGAGAAGTTACTTGTTGGTATAATGATCTCAGAATAGGGTGTTCAAAGTTTCCTTTTGTGTGGATCTGTGGTGGGGAGGGACGTAATCCTTGCCTACATTTGTGAGTGTTGCTTCAGCCCCTGTGTGTACAGGAAAGCAGAGGAAGTCATTATAAATCTCAGAACTAGGGAGTCTGTATGTCCAGTCTACTCTGAAAAGGTGGATGTTTTCCACTCAAGTCAGTCAGCATAAATTGCCAAGGATGAAGCACAAGGTGAGCATGGGGGTATGGGGAGGCATGTTTAAGACTATGGGTATAGACTTTATGTGGATTGCACAGAACAGTGTGAAATGAGGGAGTACTGACTTACTAAGATTTTGGAATCAAACTTGGATTTGAAACTTACCTCCACAGTGCACTAGTTCTGCAATACTGAGTAAACTTTAATTTTTGAAAGTCTTGGTTTTATAATCTGCAACATGGGACTAAGAGTATCACCTATCCCATGGGTTTGCTATGAGAATTCATATGGCTTGTTTGTCCCAGTATCTAGCATCATTTAATGCTCCTTACACATTATCTAAGTTATTAAGAAAAAAAGTGATCCAAGGAGAAAACTTGAACAATGACTCCATTTAAGAGATGAGCAAATTCAGTAGGATATGATTACATAGCATATGGTTCATCCATGTAAAATATCATACAGCCATTAAAAGGATGATCCACCTTATACATGAACATTAAGAATGATCTACATTTATTGACTTGAGTAGTTTGTCCCTGAAGACAAGTGGGGAAAAAGAAATATATATGTTAATTCTGTGTACTAATGGTCTTCCTTTTGGCAGTACTGAGGTTTGAACTCAGTGTACCTCACATTTGCTAGGCAGGTGCCCTACCACTTGAGCTACTCCACCAGCCCTGTTTTTTTTGTTGGGTACTTTCAAGATAGGGTCTTGTGAACTATTTGCCAGGACTGGCTTTGAACCTGGATCTTCCTGATCTCTGTCTTTTGATAGTTAGGATTATAGGCTTAAGCCACTGGCACCCAGCTGTGTGGTCATTTTTAATCCCTCAAAGAAAACATTAGCAGAAGCATCTGCATGGGGAGAGGTGTGGAAGAACAGAAACATAATAGTTTGGGGAGGGGGGAATGGTTTTTTTTTTTCTTTATATATCTTTATACTATCTCACTGATTATGGTAAGAATATGTTACTTTTGTGATTTTTGAGAACAAATTTTTTAAAAGAAAGCCAAAAGAGTGAGAAATGGTCAGTGGAGGAGGATAGATCAGTAAGCTGGAGCAAACAGATGGGGAGATATGTCCTGGAGAACACAAACTTAAAAACCAGGGTGCACAGGCTTCTTTTCACTTGTTATGGCTACATTAAGGTTGTGTCCTCAGCTTTTCCTTTCTGGCACAAGGCACAGCAATATTTCTTGTTTCTTCCCTTCATTCCTGTTTTACTTTTGACAACTGAGCCCAATATTTATCCAGCAGAATTCACTAGGGGACAATAAGCAACAGGAAGATGGGTAGAACTATGGTATCTTTATTGATTAAAGAGCAATGTCATTTTAATTTAATGCTGAAATGTAAGTTAATGAGCATACGTAACAAAAAGGGGCAATTTTTAGCTGCTGTAAAATGATTACAGTGAAAGCTAAATCCTCCTCATAGCCCTGTCCCCTGCCTTCAATTTCTCTTCCTCAAGGCATATCATTGTATGTCCTTCCAGAAATATTCTGTGCTTGTACCATCTCCGTGTTTGAATGTGTTTCCTGTTGAAAAGCAAATACTAATCTATGCTAGAACATTCTTCCTAAATCTTGGGAGAGGTTAGATCTAAGCCCTTATAGAAAGGTGGTAAGTGAGCTACTTACTCTTTTCTCAGAAGGGATTGGTGGTAAGGGTTCAAGCACTGAATTCACTATAAAAAGTCCTCTCTCTCTAGGCTGGGCACAGTGACTCAAGCCTATAATCCTGGCTACTTTGGAGGTAGAGATTGGGAGGATCTCAGTTTGAGACCA